TTTTCAATAATGAGCATGTGTAGTCTGTATTACATCCGTTTTACTTTCAGTATTATTCATCAATTGAAAAAATGTGCTAACTGGAAACTGAACCAAAACAGCAGCAGGCAAGAATTCTAAAAAGAACAAAAACCTCAAAAATAATGCTACAGACCTCTCCGTGTGCTCTAAGAGCAGTTTAACAGGTCACCTTTACTGAGGGAACACGTAAAATAACAGTGCTGATCTTCCTCCAACAATACTTATGTGACTGGCTTCCAAGTTGGCTCTCTGGCTTCAATACATTTTGCTTCATTGATCCAGATTAAATATGCAAATATGGAGCTGTAACTTCGCTCAGAATTACAGCCACAGACGTCAAAGACAGCCAGGTAACAGACATTTTCAGAAAAAGCAAAATCCATTTTCTTTTAGATTATGTCTCTGAAATTAAAGTATGTACTGGGTAGTACAGATCCGAGTAAAGCTGGGTACACATGGAGCACAATTTGGCCGATTCAACAGGAAATTGGCTGACATTTTCTCTATTGATGACCCTATCCCCCTGACAGAAGTCGATCATTAGACTGACTTTTGCCAAGGGAACATGTTGGAACATCTTCGGCTGAAGGGCGCTTGTAGCCAAACAGCCGGAAGCACTGTTCGGATATTCTGGTAGTGGCCGACACCGCTGTCAGAATACAAAGCACCCGGCAGGAGATTCATCCATCCATGCAGTTTAGCTGGAGAAATCTGTTCTATTTTTTTCGTTCAGCCCGCAGGTTGAACAAAAATAAATGTAACTGTGTATACCCAACTTAATGGGAAATAAGTCCATTAACTTACTGTAAAGCTGGCCATACACGGCTCGCATTTCATAGGAAACAGCCAAAATTTTAGCCATAAGCAGCTCTGTTGACACCACCTGACACAACAATCTTCCAAAAATAAAAAAAAAAATAAAAAAAAAAAAGGAGCCTGGTGAAAAAGTTGGCTGAACAGTGACTATATCCAATCAACTGCAGTCACTGTTTAGGTATTCTGACAGCTGTGGGTGCCGGTGTTCTATTGAAAGCTCCGACTTGTTGAGCTCTCAGACTGGGCACGTCACATCCGGTGACTGCCAGTAGGAGATGTACAGCAAATGGTGCTAGGGCGCATGGGTGGAAAATCCTTGTCGAACTGTCCAACTATTGCCACTGTGCCACTAGTGGCTCATCGGATTCTATAACCTAGGACAAACGTATATTTGTCCTAGGTTATAGAAGCCGATAGCCGTGCAGGCGCAGTGGCAACTGTGGTTGTAGAAAGAATCATGTGGCCGCGCAGGCGCTGTAGCATAATATAACCATTGACTAAATTATAGAATCCGATGAGGCAATAGCCACTGCGCGGCTATCAGCTCATCGGCTTCTATTACCTAGGACAAATATAACTGTAGTAGGTTATAGAAGGTGCTGTCACCGGGCAGTCACCGGATGTGATGTCACCAGTTAGAACTTTCGATAGAAAATAGTAAGTCCCTCTGCACTCCTCACAGCGCTCCCGGCCCAAGTACTTGTAGTGGTGCTCGCAGTGACAATCACGGATGGCACAGTGCAACAAACAGTGGAAAGCAGAAATCACCAGCACTCAACACAAATATCTTTGATGTCCATTTAAATCGGACCAATCGTCAATTGTCATGTACAAAATAGCGACGTTTCGGGACCGCACAGGATCCCTTCATCAGGGCGACAATGTAACAAGCGTCCGATAGAACACCGGCTATCAGAAAAAAATAACCAGCAGGGGAGTATCTTCCGTCCACACTGTTTACTATAGATGGGGGAATCAAGTGATTTCTCTCATGCAGCTGAGTTAGAAGTTCATGATTTATCTTGTCTATAATGGCACTAAAATAATTTATTTCTGGAACAAAGCATGGCAAACTTATTTATAAATAAAAATTAAACCATTTTGAATATTTTGTTATGCAACACTAAAAATGGGCAAACAAAACTGGCAAAAGCTTAAAAAGCAAATGGTATATAACAAAAAACCAAACAAACACCTTTAGTGGCATAACAGGTTAAATAGGAACAAATTGTATTTCTTTGATCTATAAATTAATGTAGATATGATGTACATTGTATTTTTCAATGAAACCTCCAAAAACCTCTTCTTCCGTGTTTGCATTGATTTTTGCTGACAACAATCTGTTCCTGGCCACCACTAGAGAGTGCTGTTTTCATATGAGAGGCCCCCTCTGCATGGAGCTCAATAAGAGACCACTTTCCCAGAAATAAGGACGTATTCAGAGCTAAGACACTGCTGGCAATATTGATAAAAACTGGAATAAAGGTAACCCATCATTTCACAAAGTGCTGGGACAAACACAAATGTGAAAGTGTGAATGTGCACAGTTTATGCTGAGCAAAAAATGTTATTGTTTCTACTAGTTAGTGATCTGTGAACTCTCGCAGACCAGTAATTATAAAGCAACTGAACTCTGGAACCTGTAACCAAAAAAACTCAGGCAGAGGGCAAAGGACTAGTCACTGGTATTACCTGTGATCTGAAATCTTTTCCCCATTGCTGACTTGTCATGCCTTGTTCTACACTGTGTCGCTCTGTGGAAGCAGCCATCTTGCTTCCTTATCTCAGAACCTCCAGTAAGGACATCTTATGAAGCTGTTCAGGGAGTGCTCATGTCCACTTAAAATCAACAGGAGTGCCTTAAAACTATAGAACGTTATTCTATTATAGAATTTTCAAGCTTTTAAGTTTGAGGGCTGGTGCACACCTAGGCGATTCATCGCACGGTTTGAGTTGTGCGATATCATGCAAAAAAAACACAGATTTGCATTGATGTCAATAGAGACTGTTCACACCTTTGCGGTTTGTCGCGTGACCAAAATCGCCTGTCGCGCCAAAAGGTGCAGGAGCTTTTTCGGGCGGTTGTCGCACGATTTGGGTCCCATAGACATCTCTATGCATTGAAAAACATGCGACGGTTTACAACAGACGCGCGATCGAAAACGTGCGAAAACAGCTCGTCATCTGAATCATTTAGGTGTGAACCTAGCCTCAAGGTTTCAATCAGTGACATCTATGGGCTTGGTGTGAACCCAGTTCACCAGAGTTCACACACACCCCTCTCCTGGCCCAATCAGTTGCAGCTGGGACATTCCCCGTACTGCAGCTACATATCACAAGGGGCAAGGAATGCCCCTGACGCAACTGATTGGGCCAGGATCTGGGTCCGTTAGTCACAGTTTTGTGTGAGCTTGGGGGACTCTGGTGAACTAGGTTATGCACCAAGCCCACCAGTATCCCTAGTTTAAGATAACAATAATAAAACTGATGCCTGGTGCAAATGTATGTTATATTCTGAGAGACGCATGCCACCATCATCTACAAGCAATGTTGTCTGTAGCTATTGGTTACTGCAGGTTATGACTTATATTAGTATTATGGTATCTAATGGTTGAGTCTTCCACTGTGCATTTAAAAATCTAGAATATAGGTTACATCACAGGGACTGACTACAAATGTCACATTTATCTGATGAACTAAAGACAGAATGCTACTTTTCAGGCAACAGAATTAGGCACACGTCACTGTGTATTAGAGTGGACACAGGATTGCACTTCTAGCTCTTGGATGAACATTATATCCTTTTTACACTCTACAAAGACATATATTTTATCATTAAAAGCATTGCATACTGACTGGGAAACCGAGTTTAACATAAAGCAAAGACAGTAGGTTGCAGTTAAGTACAACATGAAGGAATTCAACTTCCCTAAACCTGTTCCTACTTTAATGTAGAACATAGGGCAGACTGGAGTAAGAACAGTAAAAAAAAAAACATTATACGATGTGAAATGTATCCAAGGCCATTTATTTTGTTGTGTATAGTGGGGTGAGGAAGAGTTAAAGCATGTCAGTTTCTTTATTGTAGTCTGTGCCCCCACTGGGAAGACTTGTCATCTGTATTTGTCCTAAAAGCAGAAGCAAGGGCAAATATCCAATGGGGACATCTGCTATGGTGACAACTGTGGAAGAGGGGATATCCACTTCCTGTTGTGTCTCTGGGAGACAAAGTATTGGGAAATCTCCCCAATTGGATTCCCCTTTACGTAGGGGCAGCCTTATTATTGTTTGACTAGTAAAGTAATAATTGTGATGTTGGGTGGAGATAAGAGATAAAAGGCGGCCACTAATGCGTGATCGTGTTATCTGCATATTATACAGCAAGGTATATAAATTATTCCTCATAATACACAAAAAAAAACAGCTGCTTGACAGTAACAGAGACTGTTCTTTGATGAACCGTCCAAAATTCGTATCCCTTGATCAGCTGCCAGCTCTGTTCGGGTATTCTGACAGCGGACAGCGCCCAACATCAGAGTACAATGCAAACAGCGGGAGATTCTTCAATCAACAGTCATAAGCGTTGGAGGAATCTCTAATACTTTAATTCCACTTGCATTAGGCTTGACCTGTGTCAGTAAAGCAGAAAGTGCTGAAGTCAGGAGGTCATAAAGATAGCCAAGGCAACTGTCATTTTCGGAAGGAGGGCTCCAACAGCAGCTTTTATATCTCTTTGGAAAGGTGAATACAGACCTGGGGTCCGTGACAACCGGGGCTGATTATCTCTACTCCCTACCGGCATAACACACATATGCGGCGACCGGTGGGTGGGCTTTAATGCCGGCTAAATGTATATATGCACCCAGCCAACCCGCTGTTTTGTGCACTCACTTGTGCAATCCTAGCAGAGTGACCGTGCTGTTACCGTCAGCTCCTGGTCAGCTTTTCCAATAGACTCGGTGGGACAGGCTCCCAATTATGTGACCGCTGTGACAGCCAATGACAGAGATCACATGATTGGGAAGCTCACCTCCACTTGTTCAGAACTCCCTGAAGGCCCAGTGGAGGTTAAACAGGTCAAAATGTTTTCAATGACAATTATAAAATCAAAAGAATTATATATATATATTCTATTTAACAATGATAATAAGGAAGGAACTGACCTGAGCGCATATTTGGTGCATAACATGTCCAAACTCATGGAAATAAGTCTTGACCTCATCGTGGCGCAAGAGAGAGGGCCGGGTGGGTGCAGGCTTGGTGAAGTTTGCCACCATGGCTGCGGCAGACATCATCTTGCTTCCATCTGGGAGGAGGCAGCCGGGCTGCAGACTAAAACATGCAGCATGACCATACTTTCCCTCTCTAAGAGAAGACACATACTGTTAGGCTCAGTGTAGGAAGGTTGATCAATACCTGGATTAAACACAACGGATGTAACAATGCTACATACATAGATGGCTTATAATGTACATGTGTGATCAGTAATAATGGCCATCGTTTTCCTTTCTTCTTTTTTTATAATGAATCATTATAATTATTCATCCTAACCAGATAATTATTACTAGATATGCCAGTATGTGGTCGTGCAGCTTATGAGCATAGGTAACAAATGGCTTCAGTCTAAGCTATAAAAAGGAAAAAGATTTAAAGTACAGGAAATTGACATAAATTTAAATAATTTTTGATATAATTTTAATCTCTGCAGCAAAGAATGCATAAAAATGCATTACCAACAGTCCAAAGACAGTAATAAGCATTTACTTGCCTTTATTTTTGATTTTTTTCTTACCCCCATACTGAATAGTAAGCACATTATGAAGAGCAAGCTTTCTGATGCACAGCTGTCATGTGTGTCAGTAAGTCCTTTGATTGACAGCCGCTCTTGCTGAGACTATAGATCTGTGACATTTTAGGAGTTTGGTTTTAAATGCAATAAAGTCAGCTATATACAGTTCAAGGTCACAAAACACAACCGGCAGGAGGGGATCCGACTACATCTTTTACAACAGCTCATGAATAATTATTTCCCTTCTGCAATTACTTGCTATGTAGATGGAAGAGCTGCACACATGGAGAAAATATGACATGCCTACTGGAAAAGATAATTCTTTCAAATTTTAAAATGGCTACTTAACATTTGAAGGTCCCATGTCAACGGGTGAATGCAGCCTCCTTTTACAAGTATATTGAGATGCTTTTGAGATTCAGTTGACCTGATTTAAATTGCTTTTGCATTCCCAAAGACTTTTATGGGGAGAGAAGCAGTTGTGATGCGAAAAAACGCAATAGACACAAGCCCTAAAAAACACACTATGGGATTTCTATATAAAACCTGAATATGGATAATATCACCACCTCCTATTGGAAGATTTTTTGATGTCTACAGGTAAAGCACTTCTTATACAACCTAGGCTGCAGCATTACAGACCTGCCTATATTTGAAAACGTCTAAACCCCTATGCCACAAGCACGATCTTCTTTCTAAATTCCCAATTATTGCACTTTATTCATACTAATTCTAACCCTTATGTTTCCAAATGGGAAACAGACTTGGATGGTGTAACCACAACTGCCTGGGACCAGATCCGGATCTTCACCTCTAAGATCTCTAATAATGTTACTGCCTAGGATGATAATTCATATAATCCTTAAAGGAGAGTATCTGGTCTTCAGTATTCAGTATTCTAGTATTCCTGGGCTCCAGGAATTTTAGAGCCTTACCAAATTATTCCCCAAATTGTTTTAAAGGTTGTCAAGAAGGTAAAAAAACACTGGCGAAAGGTCTACAAAATGATTGGCACCCCTGCATTTCTGTCAGATAATGCACCACTTTGCACAGAAAATTGTTGCAATTACAAATGTTTAGGCATTCTCATGTTTATTTCTTGTGTTTGTATTGGTATGACACAAAAAAGTGGAGAAAAAGCCAAATCTGACACATTCCACGCAAAACTCCAAAAATGGACCGGACAAAATTATTGGCACCATCTCCAAATTGCAAAAAATAATTGCATTCCAAGTTTTTGTGGAAAATCATGGACAATCTCAAGGTTACAAGTCCATCTCCAGAGATCTTACTGTTCCTGTGTCCACTGTGCGCAACATTGTCAAGAAATTTCCCTATCTTAACATCCCTCCTCCCTTTGTATCCCCTTCAAGCCTTTTTTTCCCTCTCTCCTCTCTTTTCTTTCCTCTGACAAATACTTTTGATTTTCTGATCTCACAGTTTGGGGGAGTGGCAATTAAAATTCTAATGCATTTACTTATATAATCCTTTTTTCTCCATAACCAACTGATGTTCCCTGAAACAAGTTAGTTTGCAAAATGTTATACCGGCCCTAAATATAGTGTTTAAATTGCCTTAACATGTCCTTTCATACAAGTTCTCCTAATGTTCCCTTGTAAGTGAGATTTTCCATTTGTTTTAATGAATTTAGTTGTCCGCTTTGGAACATTCTACATGTCTACTATGCCTTGTTTACAACGTATTGCCAAAAACTGGACCCCATATACGATGTGTGCTTACAAGTAGTTTACTGTACACACACACACAGACAATATGCAACCAAAAAAAAAATCAAACAGATCTATCCACGCTAAAGAAAGTGGAAGGATAATTCCCTCACTGCAGCTATTGTATTCCAACAACCAATGCCTGCCACTGTCAAAATACATGAACAGTGACTGCAGCAGAATAATCTTGGCTCGGCAACTTCAGTAAAAGTTGAGTATTTGCTGGCGTATAAGACGACCCCCTACTTTTTGTGTTAAAATATAGGTTTTGGCCTGTACTCGTCGTACAAGACGAGTATAGCCCAAAATTATGTTTAAATGCACCCACTAACATCCATGGTGGTATTCCCGAGTGTGGCTCGGGGTTAATTTTCAGTACCATAAGCGGTAACCCCGAGCCACACTCGGGATTACAGTCTCTTACCTTGTCCACGATCCCCGCTGTGTCCTCCGTCTTCCGCTGAGTCAATCATGGCAGGCTTTGTATTAATGAATACAGGCTTTGTATTCATTAATACAAAGCCTGCCGGGATTGGCTCAGCGCGGTATACTGTATGTAGCCGAAGCCTTCCGTATGTACCCGGCGTATAAGTTTTAAGGTCTCAAAACCGTCTTATACTCCGGCAAATACGGTAATTCAATTTTGTTGAGTTGGCAGGGCCACCCACGGTGAGAATTATGTCTGATTGCTGGGAATTGGCTGAAATTCTAAGTGTACGGCAAGCCTCATTGTATAGGAGACAATGCTATTACTACAGACAACAGGTATGACTCAACTGCTTACACAATAATTCTATTCTGTTTACAGTTGTGAATTTTTCTCTGTAATACGAGAGATATTATATTATTTACCTAGGATAAAGGTCCAAGTAAAACTGTCCGAGAATATCTCCTGTTGCTCCATCATAAACTGAGTAGAGTGTCACGCTCTCGTGCCAAACGTGCGCATTTTCCACATGCTCAAATCGAAGTCCAAGGAGCTCCTGATAAATCTGTAAAAGGCTTTCTGTAACTGTCTCCATGGGGAAATATTCCCGTAGTTTGTCCTGATCCACAGAGTACTTTGTCTCCACCACACGTGTGAGGTAGTAGTTTAGGTCCCAGGCATTGATTCTATCATCAAACTCCAAGCCTTTGTCTGAACACTCGTCACATTTCATCTCCAGAATCAGCTGCTTCTCTTCCTCCCCTAGAGGCTTTACCTTTGTCTTCAGATCATCTGTGAGACACACAAACAGGTTTCTTAATTTATGCAGAAGGCCCTTGAAATATATTGGAAGGTGTTAAATGGATGTAAAACCTATCATCCTATTGCGATAAAAGTAATTCTTAAAGTAAAATGAAATCCCAGCCAAGACTAGTTTGGGATACAGTCATAGTTCATGTGTTTGTTAAAGGAGAACTATGGGGTCAGTGTCTTTCCCCATAGTTCTCCTTAGGGTAACGGGAGGACACAAATTAGCGTCCTCCCGTTACCCTAAGCTCAGTATACCGCGAGCTACAGCTCGCGGTATACTGAGACGCCGCAGTGGATCCCGACCTGGAGGTCGGTATCCGCCCAGCTGCGTGAGTGACAGCTGGCTCTGCCAGCTGTACCCGCCCCCTCCCCCGTCCGTTCTGCCAGTCAGCGCTGGCAGATGGGAGTGGGGAGAGGGGAATCCAGCCCCTCCCCCTGTCACGGCAGAGAGCCGTGACAGGATCGAGAGGTGAGCGAACCCGGTATGTGTTCGCTCACCTCCCGATCTACTGAGCCGACCTGTGACAGTCTCATTGTCACAGGTTGGCTAGAACTATGAGGTGAGTGGAAATCACTCATCTCATAGTTCTCCTTTAACATATAGAGATGGAACACAATACTTACAAGCTGCCTCATAGGAATAGTTTCTTCTCCAATCAATGAAAGTACCAACACCGGAATATATGTAGAAATAACTATCCCATTAGCTAGCCTATCTAAAGGTTACTCCGCCCCGCCTAAAGGTTCAGCAAGATAACAGAGAAAGACTTAAAGCAGGCAGAGAACACTCATGTGTTTGGATCAAGCATCGCAAAGAAATAGCAAGCTTTTCCTAAAGGGTATCTATGGTCAAAAAACTAAAATAAATTTGTATTTCTATACGTTCTATCCCACTCCTAATAACCAAATCCATCTAGAAGTATGTAAACATACTTATTAAAGAGGCCCATAGGATGTACTTTTTCAATGCACTGACACAATTTCTTGTTTCATCACTCTCACAGAGCCTGCCTTCTGAACTATGACTCAACGTCTGAACAATGTAACATTATCATTGCTTGCTGGAAGCAATGCATGATGGGATATGTAGTCTTAAGAAATCGAGATTGCATCACATCAAGCAGCAGGGAAAGAGACACAAAGCACACTGGGCATCCAGGAAGTTGATTAAAAAACTGATGGGCAGACAGAACACAGCACTCACTACATAAAAGGATTTATTTCAAATGAGCTTTGATTGCATTATCAAAAACAACTCTGGTATGTATTCCTATTACAATGCTAAATAAATAACTAAATGTACCGAGCTATAACAATGAGCAATACAAAAAAATTCTGTGACACAAACAAATGTCAGTGAACAAAAAGTAATAGATCAAATGTAAAGTCTGTAAATGATTCACATCTGATCCATTTACTATTTATTCACTGACATTTGTTTGAGTCACAGATTTTTTTTTTTGTATTGCTCATTGTTGTAGCTCGGCACATTTAGTTATTTATTTCGGTTTCACGTATACACACTCACAGTGGGTGTACATTCCAGTGCCTTTTAGCTTGCTTAGTGGAGCAGTTCGTTTCTATATATATTCCTATTACAATGCTGATATTATAACAGGTAGCATATGCTGTGATGTTAGAACTCTTAAGAAGCAAATAGCCTGCCTAGAACAGACACAATCCCCAGTATGCAGATTCCACTAGCATTTATACCTTGTTATAACATTATGGTACATTTTTAAGCATGCATGAGACAAAGCAGACACTACACAGGCTATTAAACAACAGGCCCTATCACGTCCCTATTACATCCTAACGTATGAAAAGAGGTAAATAATAAAAATATTTTATTCATTTGTATAGTGTGCACATATTTATGGGTGCTTTATAGACAGCAATAAATCCACTGTAGCAGCCCTCACTTCCACAAGGCCAATAGTTTACCACATACTTATGCAAACACACATTCACACGCTAGCCAATCTGTGGGGTAGTCAATTCACCTACCTATACATTTAGGATTTGGGAAGGAAATCATAATATGAGGAAGGACCTTATGCGAACGTAAAGGGTTATTAAACCCTCACATGTTTTTGCATAGATCTACTGCTGGCAAGCAGTAGATCTATGCAAAAACATTTAAAAAAAAACAAAACAAAACAAACAAAAAAACTTACCTGTGTCTCCGCCGCGCGCTCCCTTCCAAACATCTGAAGTCTCGGGCGGCCACAAAAGGATCTTGGGGCGGGCGCATGCACAGTTCAGATGTTCGGCAGGGAGACGAGGAGACACACAAGGTAAGTCTATGGAGCAGCATGCACCCACACAGATACCGTGGGACATGAGAGAAGAGGAGGACAGAGGAGTCAGCGCTGGATTGGAGACCCGCACCAGCGCTGGAGGGACAGCTAAAAAAAAAAAGACAGGAAAGAAGAAGAAGAAGATCAGATTAGGAGACATACAATTTAAGGTACGTCCCTACAACAGGATTGGGAAGGGGAAAAAAAAAGTTGACTTTAATGTCACTTTAAGGAGTTCTACAAGTTCCATGTGGTGTCCTCCTTGCGGCGCTGCAAGGTCAGAGTGCTAATCACCTAACTACTTATACATGGGTAATGGTTTTACTCCCTAAAGATCATCAGAAACACGGTCAATTCCAATGACATTTTTCAGAAACAAAAACAAGAGAGAAAAGTAGACCGTTGTAGACATATTTTTACAGCAATTTCATATTGTGTTTTGGTATAGAATCTCATCATGTTGTATGTCTTTGTGACCCTTTACTCTGTCCATGCTATTTTAATGGTCCAATAAGTAATAACAAGACAGCTAACCTAGAAAAGCAGACACTTTCCTTGTGTTCTTTGCTGTGTTCAGTTCAAGGACAAAGTCAGCATGTGTTTGGTATCCCAGCAGCTTTGCCAGTTTAGCCCGCAGGGTAATTAGCTGCTCTAGAATTTTAGTATTCTCCTGAAAGAAAAGGAAACATAAAAAGGCGTTAATGACACAGGAAAGTGAATGCCAAATGCTGGAAAATTCTCTTCAGAGGTAGGCGATCTCTGTTTATTCATTTGGATAAATCTTTTAGTTGATGCAGTAACCACTCTAATATCTTCACCATATGCTCAATGCACAGCACACAAGGTCCTTATACAGGCCTATTTCAATGTTCTTTTTTGTTGCATTAAAATTCAAAATGTTAACTGTTTGTCAAGTATTTCATGACTTCTACAAACTTTTACATTTTAGAAAAAGAAAACCTTTACTACAAGGTACTTCAATCACACTGTGGAATCAAAGCATCCCGGGCTTTCAAATAAGCCAGCAGTAGCTACTCACTTTTGGAATGACTGTCTCTGAAAGACACTTCATACAGATCCCATTGAACTCCAGAGAAAGGGTGGGGGTATGTTTTTCCCTGCACTCATTTAAGTGCCGGTTGTGTGTGAGTTGAACAGCAAGGGATCATACTGCCTTTAGGCCTCATGCGCACAAGGAAGGAGCTGAAATAGTCAAATCGAGAGCTAACAAGGGGGTGAATGAGAAGCTTGGTGCATGTACATACCTCCATACATCTACTGTTGAAAGCAGTCTCCAGTTTCCTCCGAGTTTCAGGTACGGAACACTGTTTAAGTATAGGGAAATAGTGAGGATATTGGAGAGTTACTTTATAGCTGTGGCTCTCTGTCTTTTCTAAACTGTCAATGAAGTTATCAGGAAGACCCTCTGTAAAATACAAAATGGCAGAAAGCCATTACTGAAATTCAGTACAGAGCAAGACATTTTAAATATTTCATGCCATTGAATGTTGTCTTTTAATAAACTATTCCATTTTTTTATAAATGGCAACAGCATAGAGACGCACATGTCGCATGTTACTACAGTAGACCATAAATTGTAGATGCTGAACAGATATTATGGACCTCCAGAGGGACCGACATTGCTGGCTTGAAGACATGGCAACAGTGGAAAGCGAAGTTGTAGTTCTAGGCTAAAAATATGGAGGTGCACTTGGTGCCAGGAAAAGAAAGTTCCACTTTTTTTCTAGCTATACAGATTCAGCTCAGTTTAAATATATATTTTTTTTATATGTTACCTGAACATATTTGACTAAGTTTGGGGAAGCTGTAAAATTTTGCTTTATGTGTGCACAACATACCATTTCTTAGAGCGAGAGAGAACATTAGACAGAATGTTATAGAGTTGAATATTACTGTAAGTGAACAACAGTCACAGAAAATGTAATGCCAATCAGATTATTCTCGAGCATTCTCCAATATAAGATCCTTCAGAATCAGTGATCACTATTTCAACTTAAATCTAAACTGAAAGAACATGACACTACGTTTGCAGATGTTAGTATAGAGAAACCCTTACCCAGTTCTGCTTTTGTAAAGACCAGAAATGTGTTATCCTCATTGAGATTTTTATTGAAATCGATACTTAGCTGACTGATCATTTTTTTCATCCTCTTTATTTCCTGAATGAGAACAGGAAACACAATATCAAAACATTTTCCCTATGAAAAATCAGAAAAATGACAAAAGAAATGTATGTAGTAAGTCACAAATAACTGCAATATTTAGGCTGCCCTTGCAGACATCCTTCTGAAAATGCTAATTACTTGGCTTTCATTCTGAGCTAGAGGCTTCAGACCTTTCCAAATCACATACCGATCAGCAGTTCTGACTTCACTGATCTGCATATTTGTTATGGGTCAGACTCTGATGACATCAATATCCTGGCAACCAGTATTTTCAGAAGACCAACAATGGCAGCCTCCATAGCATTGCATACAGGTTTCCTTTGAATATCTAAGATCCTCTGATGACATGGAGGTGTCCCTCCTACTTGAAAGCTTAAAGTTAGGGCTCCTACATATAATTGTGTCACTGAATGTATAATTCTGTCCAAGACTAAGCATTTCTGAGCATGGAAATTGCCAAGCTCAGAGTGTACAAATGAATGGAAACCACTATATTATAAGGGTGAATTTTTTGTGATTGTCGATACCTTTTTATTGTATCTAAAATACACTTTATGCCCAAGGTCAGTTAAATCCTAGTAGACATATTTTCATTAATGTAGTACTAAACTCTCACATTTTTTTCAATAATGAATCCAGATTAAAACAATATACATCGCCCAGCAAAGCATTGCTTTACATTTTTGCCCAAACCCTTACAATCATTATGTTTCTAGACAACTGCTCTCAAGTCTCTCTTCGCTCAGCTTCCCTGAACTTCCTGTTCAGTACAAGATCACAAAGGGCAGTGCAGACTCCAGCAATTTTTCATCAACTAGCTTGGAGAAGGGAGGAGAGGGGCAGGGGAGTAGCTTGATTTGATGTGTCTGTGTGTTTGTAAAGCAAAACAAACGACAAACGCACTCAACAATTTGTTACCAGTTATACAGATAAAGACACAAACAGCTTAATAGCACACACAAGGGTGACTGCATAGCACTCTGCTTGAGAAAGGTGTCACTCTAAAACAGGAAGTCAGGACCAGTGCTCAGGGGACCAGCTGATTCAACAGGAAACAAACTTTTAAACATAAAGGAGCAGCATCATATGTAATTGATTTCATCAGCATTTTAAAATAGCCTAAAATGTTTTTGACTTAAATATGTCAAAACACACATGTACCGTTTATGTATTTAGATAGATCCATATCTAACAAGGATGAACGGGGGGAGGGGGGGTTCATAGTTCATCTGAGTAAGCAGGACTCAAAATTTGACCAGTGTATGGCCAGTTTAAGGCTCACCAGCAGGCAGCCTCCATGCATGTTTGTCTGGGACACAACCCTGCATATAATGTCTAGTTGACCTGAGGAAACCCTAGAAACTTCCAAAGTAATTTGTAGCAACCAAGGGGAAGTACAGCCTGTTCTGAAATCCCCTTCCGATCAGCTTATTAAATATAATTATAATGAAAAATGTCGGCTGTCCTGTTAGTTGAAGCATAGAGTCGATATGTTCTACAGCTGTTAAACGTGACTGTTCAATTGTAATTTTTTTTATTGCCAAGCATTTTTCCCAAATTAGTAAACAGGTGGCTGCATTTACAAAAGCCAATTAATTCTTACCCCTTCATTGACTGTGTGGTGCTATTTAGATCTTCCTATTTTTGTTAATTCTTTGAAAAAGATTAAAAAAAGGCTTTGCTTTCATTCACAAACCCACATTGAAATAAAACAGATGTGTCTGATTTTCTTGGCACATCCAGCAGTATTACTAGCCAGAAAAAGCCAACATAAATCAAATGCCCATGATACTTATATACCTAGTCTAGACCATTACAAATCAATGCCTTGATAGGATCAGATGCTCGTTGTCCCAGAATGAAAGCGCGATGCATCCAAATTAATATGCAATGCTCACCTGGGAGTATTTCTAATACTGCTTTATCTACTTTTCAGCAATGTTTTCTGTTTTTTTTAAAATTTATTTTGTACATCATGGTTTGGCAATAATGCATCCTGTAAGTGCCTTTTCAAGTATGTCTCACAATGATGCGATTGAACTTTACCGGTATCCATTACATTGGTTTTGAACATCCGGGAGCATTTTTCTCATGGCCGATTTTAAAGAGAACCTGTATCGAGAGAATTATGTAAACTCTCATCGCTGACCTTTCATTCTGTAAATACTACTTGCCTGGCTCTCAGGCTTATCTGATGGTTTCAGCTGTTTGTGAGTCACTGCCCCTGAACAAGTACGTAAATCATAAGTTTGAACTTAAATCTTTCTTTTATGTCAGCGATTCAGGAAGTATGAGAGTCTACATTTTATATTAGTCACAGCTGGATTCCCATTGTGTGAGCATGTAAACACACAACCTTTGATATCCAAAGTAACCGCCCCGTCATCCTGAGATTAATCAAATAGTTCTTGGTTTACTGGTCCTCATCTGGCTTGATAATTGTGACAATATGCAAGTAAACTTATTTGCACTAATTTTATTTCTACTGATGGGGGAAAAAAAATCTGTAGACAATAACTATAAAAGCAAAAGGCAGCTCTTTGCCTCTGCCCCACCTATAGGCACAGGCCTATTGTGCCTAATGTTAAATTCAGCTCGATTTTTAAAGTTCACCCAATCACTAAAATCTTAGATGAACTTTATAAGGAAAATTTAATTTAAAAATACTGTTTTCCCCTTATGTTATTCTTTTCACATTTAATTGATACTCCAGCCTCTATAAAGGCACTTTCTGCCTACATGCTCTCGCTCCAGTGATGGCTGCATGCCTCCTCAGGACAACAGTGGTGAAACATGCTTGTACAATGAGCACAGACATAGGCACTTATAGCCTCCACTGGAAGCACCTGTGACTGGGTGACAACATAGGAGAGCGATTCAAGAACAGGGATTTAACCTGGTCGGCCCTTGGGAGTACCTAAACAGGGGGCCCTAATGGCAGGATCACCAGGTATTATTTTAACAAAAGCTCAGGTTTAAAATGACTGAAAATTACTTTTCATGAATACAGAAATTGTCTATGAAATAAAGTGTTAAATATTCAGTACTCACACTCTGTACTTCCAGGGAAAGATGGAGTCCATTCCGTTTTCCAATCTGAACAGACTTTTCCAGATACCGTCTAACCTCTGGGTCCAATTGTTTCAAGTCTTGCGTTTGCTATAAATAGTCATAATGCAGACTTACATTTTTGCAAGATATAAAACCGCTTTAGACAGATTAGCCTATAATTATTTTTTTAATTTAATTACAGTAAAACAAAAGAAAGACACGGGAACATAGGAAATCAGGAAATCACAAAATCTTAAATCAAAAAGCTGATCACTCTGGAGGTTCTACATAACAGCAATGTGCAAGGAACCAGTTGGAAAAGGCATCATTTCCAATGGTTAGTTATTATGCAATGAAGCCTACCTTCATTTTCAATTTTATTTGTATTACAGTCAGATATTGCCTGGGCCAAGAACGGCTTTGCCAGCTCAGCCCACGACATCAAATTTTACAGAATTCAAACCAAATGGACTGGTGAATGAACCATCAATAGTGTAAATCTGCCTATCTCCACCAGGATGCTTTCTGGCTTTGTCAGGGGAGCCTTTTCATAGTTACATAGTATTTGAGGTTGAATGAAGACATTAGTCCATCAAGTCCAACCTATTAGGATCTCATTCTAGGAGTACCTGTACCCCTGTATATTACCTGTACCCCTGTATATTACCTGTACCCCTGTATATTACCCGATCCTATATCCGTGAATCAGATCAGGGCTGACCTCTCTAGCACTCTTCCCCCTCCCCCGCCTTCTAACAGTAACACAGCTACCCACCTCTGGATCCCGCTGCTCCAACCCCCGCTCCTCAGCCTGACCCCCCTCCACGACAGCCTGGTGCGTTAAGTCCAGACTCTTTTCCATGTTGTTTATGCTCCTCAGTGTTGCCAGTTTGTTGCTTAGATCCAGAATCTGGGATTCCAAACAGACAACTCGCTCACATCTAGCACAATTGTATTCCCCCTCGAACGCATGTATCCAAAGAACGCATACATTGCACATGACATTTCCACCTCCTGCCCTTTGCGTGCTGCCAAAGCCACACTGTGGTAATGATTATAAGGTAGGACTCTGATGTGAAAGGGGATTCTGATGTAAGGGGGGCTAGTAATGTGGGCTAGTAATGTGAAGTATGCTCTTACTGTGAAGGGGTGACCTCTAATGGAAAAGTGGGGACTCTGATGAGAAGGGTGGGCTTTTGATGTGAAAGAGGAGGACCATGTCATATTTTTGTTTTCTTGCATGGGGTTCCCCTTAAAGATCCCTACCAGTATCCTATCTAGAATAAGGGTCTGGTAAAGATTTTGGAAAGAAACTACACATTATTTTTTAATTTGTTTACATTTTATACTGGGTTGCCTCAAGATGTTGCATACTTTCAAAAGGTTGCTGTGTCTAAAAAAAAAAAAAAAAAAGGCTGAGAAATGCTGTTGTAAATACATGCTGGGCAAGCTAAAACAACCAGAGGTTAGTGAAAGAGCCTCCAAGTAATGTTACTCTTCTTCTACTGAATTGCCATTTTCAGGAGTATGTAAATGAAAGAACTGCATAGCGCGCATTCATTTTAAACCTTAAATGGGGGCACATTTTAAAATGTGTAGAACTTCTATAAATGTACAGAAATGCACTTATCATTCACAATATAACCACACAGTTTTACTACAATATACATAATAAAGTTTCACATATTTGAGTGTTGTTTTTTTTAGAGTGGGTTAAAAAATTAAGAAGAGTCAGATGGAATTTGACTGGTCGCTGTAGATGACTCCATTTTCATATGCTCTTTGTAAATGAGATTCATTGCAATTTCAGTCCGTCCAGTTACAGCCGTTATTATTAGATGACTCAAACTGTTGCTCAGAGACAGCGGGGACACACTTAAACATATTTATTACTATGTAAAGGAACGCAAATACAGGCATATTGGTGTACAGTGTAACCCCAGCTGCTGCATTTTTCTTTCTATAGGACTGTATAGACTGAAAACACTGCACACCGCTATAAGTGCAGGTACAGGTGTTTACACATGCACAAGTGTGAGTTCCCGAATGCAGGAGTATCACACTCAGAAACTTAAACCCCTAGCATGCACATGCAAACATCTGTAGTTCTATTTATATGCATATACCTACATACAGTGTATTCTGTGCATACCATCCTATAGACAGAAAAATGCAGCAGCTGGTGCTCCTGGGTGCCCCAAATACAAGCGTATTTTATGATGTACGGCCATAAACCTGTAAAGCAAACAAGACATCAAACCATGATCTTCAATGTACTATGCTTAAAACAATACTATACTTACATATAAATGGAGAATTCTTTTAAATATATCCTCTCTCATAGTCATCTCAACGTCGAAGTCAGACAGTGTTTTGTCGGCTAGCGTGCTGGCCGAACGCAGTTCCCTACTTGGGGATACATGCTGCGGGAAATCTAACATGCTCCTCTCCACTATCGAGAAATAAAGGATAAAGTCACAGTTATTCTGGTCCTAGTCGTGGCATGCAACATAAATGCAAGCAGCTGATATACAACGGTGTTCCCCACAGCAACCAATATCCTTCCACCTTCATTTTCTTTGCTACCTTGGAAACATGAGCGAACAAGTCAGTTGGTTCAGGGGACACGACAGACAGTTCTTCAAGGTTTAGACAAATGAATCGTGTTAACCTAAGCCTGTCATTAGAAGTGACAAGCTGATGTCACCACATACCTGAAAATTAGGCACGATTATGTGCCAACCGGTCAATGCTGATGAATGTGCCCAGCTTTTCCCATAAGGCACATGTGTCAAACATAAGGCCCACAGGCTGAATGTGGCCCTCAGGACCATTTCATGTGGCCCTTGCATCTCTCCTGCAGCTGTGGCACCCCCCACCTAGCTTTAGCAGCCGGCAGCAGAGAGGAGGACAGAACTCCTCCTACAGATCCTGCACCTCTCCGTGCAGCCGCAGCACAAGATAAGGGGGTTGCACTGTGATGTAAGGGAGGGTGGGGGGCTCTTGACTTCTGGTAGTGGGGGTAGGGTGCTCTGGACATCTACTTATAATTATTTTAAGAATACAAGTTTATGCCAGTTGAAGAGGAGTGTCACACACTGCTGGTATGATCCACAAGAAACGTTATAGTTCTGTGTAAGCAGTCTCCAATAAAGTTTCTTGTGGCTGTTACCAGCAGTGTGCAACCCTGCTTTTCAGACTTGCATCATCTGCTACAAGAGTGTGAGTGGGCTCCGTGCCAGCCTGCACCTGCCCTTCACAGCGCTGTGATGGTTCGTCTTACAGATTACATTTTACCATTACATAGTAGATACATTTATATATTCTTACAGATACAGCTGGCACTTTGAGGGCAACCATAATGCTGATGCGACCCGCCATGAAATTGAATTCGACACCCCTGCAATAGTGCAATTTGGGGCAACCTTCAATAGGTTGTTAAAGCCATGTAATGCACCATGGGATGCACTGGGGTGTTATTCAGCATTGACCTTTGGCAAAGTTGAAATTTGCTTCAGGGGCTTGGTTTTCAAGGTGAATGATAATGACATTAAGTTGTGCTTATTGCAACCTTTTATCCATGATAATGAAGGACAAGTTTACTTCTATATCAAAAAACACACCCTCCCTAGCCTCCTAACCCAATCTAACTCAGACAACCCCAACCTACTAGAGATGCTAGCAATATGGCCTAATTTAACTTTATGTGGACTCAACGCTGGAGATGGGTAAACACCGCTACTATTAGGAAGAGGTAAATAAGCACTTGGGTGGGGATGTCTGGGTTAGATAAGGTCAGGGGGCTAGGAAAAGTGGGATGTTTGTTAAATTTGTTACAATGGGAGAAATGTTGCAATAAGCGCAACTCTTTAGAAAATCCATCACTGTGGGACACCACCAAACAGTTCTGATGTTTCCAACTCTATTTATAACAAAAAAAAAATTAGGTAGAAGTTGGGTTTAAAGCGCAACTTAATCCGCTATACTCCCCTCCAGCAATGCGCCATCCTTGGGCTCCCTTGCCATCACTGACATCTTTGCCCAGTTTTCCCAGCGTGGCATTTTTAGTCATCTTATTTGGCCTGCCTGGGATGACAAAACTCCCATGCATGTGCACAGGATTAATAAAATCATATACCAAAGGCATGCCAAGAACATTCTAAAGAAGTCTGAAAGCAAGGGTAAGAAGATTTTTTTTGCAGGAGAGACATGGTATGTCTTTTCTGCAAAAATAGCTTTCCAGCTACCATATTTTCAGCCAAAGTCTTGCTTTCATTAATATTACGATACGATGTCTCAATTAATATATGTCCAGTATTTATAAGGTTACCGCTCTGTGCATATTGTTCATTTAAAAGATTATTTCACATATTTTATAAATTTGACATACTACCTTCCTAGTGAAGGCGTTTTATTAGTACGGTAACAAGGTATCACCTGAATACTCAAGTTCCAGATCCGCTAATACTTTTAAAGTGTTCTCGAATGTGACTTTCTCTACATCCAATGCAGCCACAGCATCGTAAACACTCTTTGTCCTTGTGATGAGCTCTTCTGTCCTGGTCTGTATAGTCTCTGGTGACAAATCCCATCTCATGAGATTCATGGCGCTGGCCAGGCTTGAAGCCATTCTTAATGTTTTAGGGACATCTGAGCCCATTGTCATTTTTATAAAGGTGTTGCTGCTGTGTAACCTGGGATTGAGGGAGAAAATAACATGTTAATAAAATGGTTTTCTATACCGCACAGAGGACATTTTTGATATGTATGCTTAGTCTTTACAGAAAAAAAATGAAAGTTTCTTTAAGTTTACCCTTTTATTTTTTAAAGAAGGTTACTCTACAACAGGGGTTCCCATTAGCTAGATCGTGATCTACCAGTAGCTCTCAAAGCTGATGCTGGTAGATCACGATGGGTGTGAATGGTGGCCCCTTTATTCCATTTTGGTATATTTATTTAGCTGTGCACACATGATTACCTATTAGCCTGAGTCTACTGAGCCAAGCTCCCTGACATTTTTCTGGTGGATACTGGTGGATACTGGTGGTTGAAGTGCTATGTATTACATCAAGGAATATTAATTTACACAGCCTGTTGCACTAAACTGTTTGCAAAATACAGCAAGGTGAGCCAGGAGAGAGAGCGGGGAGAGACAGACAGGAGTGAGAGCAAGGAGAGACAGACAGGAGAGCAAGCAGAGAGAGCGAGGGAGGTATTTTTTTCTTTGGTAGATCTCATGTAGCTCGTCATTTGAAAAGTAGTTCTCATCACAAAAAATTGTGGACACCCCTGCTCTACAACAATCCGTGATAACAGAAAGGCCAGTTCTCACAGACTGACTTGTTCGGGCCTGCACACTGACTGAAAAATATGTCTGGTACTTTGGTAGAGCAGAGGGACACCTTGACAAAAATGGCTACTGTTTATTATGGACTTATTGGGTATAACTGCCCACAGCACAAACCTTGCCCTCGTCCATCTTTTTAAAAGGCACTGTGATGTACCACTAAGGATTTGATTCAGCTAACACACCAGCACGTACAGAGAGATGGGGTTTCTGCTATTTAAGGGGATATAATGAACTACAGTATGCAATACATAGAGACAGTATTCAATAAGAATCTATCACTTTGCCCATTCAGGGTAATCTGCTGATATAAACCTTCCCCAGGACAAGTTACCCACTATAGGATGGGGGGGAGCCCAAACTCTGTGAAAGCTCCATGTTGGATGGTTTCAGAGCTTACAAGAGGATTTTAACTCCCAGTCCCAATGTAGTATTGGAGTAGGATAGAAGCATAAAGGGGACTATCAGTGGATGGGGAACAGAGAACGTTTTAGGCCCCGTTCCCACTGCGCGATATGCAAATCGCGCGTTTGTCGCGCGATTTGCATATTGCGCGACATCGCGAGATTTGCCGCGCGATGACGCGTTCAAGCTTGCATTGAGCAAGCTTGAATCGCGGCTAAATCCGCTCCAAAAAGGGTCCTGCTGTAGCGACACACGACACGCGACAGCAGGACCCTTTGCCCCATTGGATTGCATTGGAGCGTGATATCGCGCGGTAATTTGCCGCGATATCGCGGGAATTACCTCGCGATAAATCGCTCAATGTGAAAGGGGTCTTAGAGTTATGGAGTACGACCACTGTAAGGTCGTACGACTTAACTTACGAACATGTTCGGAAACCCGCCGAGCATCGTACGCTGTTCAGCGGGTGTGTGGCATGTTCGTACGATAAAAGCCGGACGGGCCGTTGTGCGCAAGCGCACACTGCCCGTTCGGCATTGCGGTCATCGGAAAGCCCGCTCCTCAGGGGGGCGCGGCTTGCGATCATCACAAGTACGATCTGCCTGTCCGAGATGGGCAGATCGTACGTTTTTTTAAGCACCTTACAACCATTGCAAGACAAAAGTCTTGCGATGGTTGTAAGGTGTGTGCCCAGCCTAAGGCTGGGTTTACACCTGGGCGTACGGAATATGCGATTTGCGGTGAAAGAAACGCGCGACAAGCGCGCGTTTCCGAGGGCTATCCGGCTGTATCCTAATGGATACGCGCGACAAATACGTCCCAAAGAAGCTCCTGTACTTCTTTGGGCGTAGGGCGTTTTTCAGCGCGTTCCTACACGCTGTAAAACGCCCAGGTGGGAACCATGCCAATAGCAAATTATTGGTTTTCACATGTTGAACGTTTTACAGCGCGTAGGAACGCCCTGTAAAACACCTAGGTGTGAACCAGACCTAAGACTTCTCCAATCCTCTGGAACACCCTACTCCAACCTGTCCGGCTATTTCCTACTCTGTCAACCTGTAGGCATCTAGCCTACCCCATCTCAACCTATCAACTGAACTTTTACCTTCTGCATTAACTCATCCTCACAGTTATTACCTTTAGTATCACTTACCCTTCTCTTTTAGATTGTAAGCTCTCACAAGCAGAACCCTCGTAACCCTTTTGTCTTGAATTGTATTGTAACTGTACTGTCTACCTTAATTTTGTAATATTCTGCAGAAACTGCTGGTGCTATCTAAATCCTATATAATAATAATAATAATGTATAATCCATAGGACTCTGTAAATTATATAAAGCTTGTTTAGTGTAGGACAGTTCCGGGTAAACCCTACAAATGAATGTTCTAAGTGGGCTGAACAAAAAAATAAAAAATCCACATAGACTTTGGCTCACTTACTCACCCAATGGCCTGCTTGCACGCACACACACACACACACACACACACACACACACACACACAGCCCTATATAAACTATACTAACAAAAAGTATTGGACGCCTGCCTTTAAAGTGTGTGGGGCTGTCTGTTCCCTTTCAGCCGGAATTCCTTGATCAGCTGATCAAAGGAGCCAGATGGAAAATCTTTGTACGATCAGAGGCGGTAGTCAATGAGCTGTCCGCTCCGATCGGGTATTCATCCTGCGGGTTGATCAGTGTTTGGCCAACCTTAGACAGGAGCCAATTAACCTACCAGCATGTCTTTGGAGTGGGGGAGAAAACTGGAGTACCCGGAGGAAACACACGCAAGCACAGGGAGAATGTGTAACTCCATGCAGATAGTGTCCTGACCAGGATTCAACCAGGGGACCCCAGTGCTGCAAGGCAGAAGTGCTAACCACTAAGGCACTGCCAATAAAATCAAATTAGAACAATGTGTGAATCTCGGGTAAAGGTTGCGTGAAAACTGATGCACCGAGACGATTTCCCATAACGTCTTCCAGGACAGCATCACGAGATGGAATCTCCTCATGCTGTCCTGGAAGACTAATGGAAATAGAGTTACCGGTAAGTCCTAACTCTGAATTTTTTCGGCATCGAGTACCGATAGTTATCTTTTGGTACTCGCCGAACACCAATATTGGTACTTCCGGGAGCATGGAGCTGGCTTCCTGGCCAATCAGGAAGCCGGGTGGCAGGTTATGACACGCCACCCAGCTTCCTGATTGGCCGGGAAGCTGGCTCCATGCTGTTTGACCAGCTCAATGCTGATTTGCCAGGAAGCCGGCTACCTGGCCAATCAGGAAGCCGGGTCATTACCCGGCGCCCAGCTTCCTGACTGGCTGGGAAGCCGGCTCCATGTTCTATGTTCCCTCACGGCACTGCCGGACAGAGAAAATCTTCCTCTGACCGGAGGCTTTGGTATCGGGGGTAAGTATCGGAGCATTTGGCAGAGTACTCGCCCAAACATTCGGTATCGGCATCGATACTAGTATCGCTATCAGTGCATCCCTAGTGAAAACATTTCTATATAGACCTCTGGTGGGTGTTTGGGTTTAAATACGCTTTAATATTTATCCATTGGAAATAACAGTATTTGTCTACATCACAGAAGTAAATTGGGGAATATTTATAAAGCAAGCAAATGGTGACTGAAAAGTGACAATCCACTACATTTTCCGCTGTAGAAAAAGACCCCAAAGAAAGGCCTAGTTGACATCTGGATGGAGGAATCTCTGCTGCTGGCTTTTGTAGGAGGAATCTCTGCTGCTGGCTTTTGTACCTGTGTAAAGCTGGCCATACACCTTACAACCATCGCACGACTTTCGTTGTGCGATGGTTGTAAGGTCATTAAAATTTTGTACGATCTGCCCATCTTGGACAGGCAGATCGGAGTTGCGATCATCGCAAGCCCTCCCCGCTGAGGGGAGGGCTTGCCGATGATTGCAATGCTGAGCGGGCAGTGTGCGCTTGCGGCTTTCGTCTTCCGAGCACGCTACCAACCCGCCGCAAATCGTGCGATTTTCGGCAGGTTTTCCATCGTGCTGCCGCCAGAGAGCCCAATGGGTCATCCGTCAATTCCTTTAGCACAGTGGTTCTCAACCTGTGTAACCTCAGGACCCACATTTGTCCTTGGTTATTAACTCGCGACCCAAGTAGCACTGCAATGGAACACACGGCATTGCAGTATCGCGCGTTCCGATGCAGGTGACTGAACTTTGAGTGGGAGGTGCATTTTGGGTGTCATCCAAATGATTGCGTGGTACAGTGCATTAATCGCATGCGACTGTGCGATTAACGCACTGTACTAGTGAGGGCGCACTGACAGACACACAAAACCAGACACAATCTCACACACATATACACTACAAAAAAAATCCACCCAGTCTCCTTACTTTACGAGAACTAGAGTAGATCCTTAACATGGGGTACAGTGTGGGCTGCTGTGCTGTAGCTCCATCCATATGTGCATTGCGGGTACAGCTCCCATGCATGCCCGGGAGCCAGTCCAGGCACCTCTACAGGGCATGTGAGGGAGCTGTAAGCAATGCACATATGTATGGAGTTTTCTCACGCCTTACCCCCAGCCCACCTCACCTCAAGCTGACACTCGGCACCTGACATATTTTGAATGGTTGCTCGGTGTGAGAAATGACAGTGCTCGCTGGGGGGAGGCTGAGGAGACTCTCACCTAGAAAAGTGGAAGGCATGCGGCGGCCCACTGAACACAGGGCCGCAACCCGCTTTTGGGTCACGACCCACCAGTTGAGAACCAAGGCTCTAGCAGGACACTCCATCTGGAGCCACTCACGCCAGCAAGGATAGATGCTATCTCCTTCAATTATGCAGGGAAACCTCTGGGCAAACCGTTTTTGTAAGGACTCTGGGGGAACCAGTCCTGGGTACCTGTGCATGAGGCTCTCCAGGTACACTGTTCTGTGAGTGGGTGCCGCATGCCTCAGGAGGCCACTGCCATCTGGCACGATAGGCCTGGAGTAAAATGACAAACGTTACGATGCTCCTGTTCAGCCAGAGGAAACACAAAATACTGAGGTGGTTAGGTTGGACCGCCCTTTTATTGTAATTGTGGATGATGTGTCTCCTGTTTCAGGTGGGAGGATCCCATCCCTCAGATGCTGCCCTGGACGATGACAAGACAATCGGCAGGTGTAGGGGCACCTTAACACTGACTGAATCTCATAGGATGTAGTCACCGTTTGGCTGAGCTTGGTTGATTTTTCAGTTGACTTTTGTGGAGCCGGGTGGTGCGTGCACGGCCACTTACAGCTCAAATGTTTTGCTGATTTCGCAGGAATTGCCCAAAATTTGAAACACCAGGCTTTATTTGCCACAAAACGCGCCATAGTTTGATGGTGAATGTCCCACTTTTATACCTTGAGGGCCCAGTCACGCCATATCCAGTGCGTTCCGGCACAGTCTGAGCCCGGAACGCACAGATCAGGCCACGTTCTGGGGCAGGACGACGCCATTAACGTCAATGGCACTGCACGTACGCCCCCCCCCCCCCCCCCCCACGCGA